AATGGAGTGTTAACTGCATAAAAACATTGAAGCATCTTGTATGTTTAGAATGATAATATGATAAATTATCTAGAGATAATGAACGTATTTAAGCGTGTAAAGCATACTAAAAAATGATTCAGAAATCAAAGTTTTTCTAATTAAAAAACACGATGTGATTTTTATTATTTGTTATGAAATATTTTCGTTAATGGACTGAAGAGCAATACTTTTGATGAAAATATTAACATGAATCCTTCTTAAAAATAGTTTAATAATAACTTTTGGATTTTTAAAATGAAATTGTTCAATATCCAAAAAAGTCTTCTTTTTTTTTCCTATAGAAACAATGGTTTTGAAACATATTCAAATAAAGAATCTTTACGACTTTTACAAGATGTATTTAGTTTATATTGCAGATTTTTTTTAGTGTAGAGCGAGGTTTTCACGAACTGCAAACTTTAATATTTGATATTTCTCTTTTTTTTTCAAAAAATAATTTTGTTTTGAGTATTGTGAAAATAAAATAGATAAAAAACCAAAATATGGAGTATGTTAAAGATTAAAATTTGGAATATAGTCTTTATAAATATGTAGTTCGATAAATATAGAAGAGATAGAAACTTCAGTAAATGAAACAACCATTGAAAAATATTCCAATTTATCGATGAAATATTTTCATTGATAAAAATGCAATAACACAAAATCGAACTATGTAATCTGCTGCAATAATTGAACTGATGACTGACGTAGACTTATGATAACGATCGAAATTATTGATATATATTGGTTTTTTTTTGTGACTTCCAAAAGGATACATTCATTCACAATCGCTAGAAACTGATAATTTGATTTGATTTTTGTCTTTTTATTTCATTGCTTCTGACTTAACGTAACAGACCAATGGTCAAAAAATTCCTATTCAAATTTTAACTTTCAAAGAGTTACCGGAAATTGATCGTTGCCATATCCCAAATTCTAGTCTATGACAGTAAGATTTAAGTATATTATCTTCAATGATTTCATTACTTCTACTGTCAAATCTAATATTTTCCTGTGCATGTCATGTTCATTGATTTTTCTTCTGTGTGCAAAAGATTTTTTTTTTTAATATGAATATGAAAGTCATTTGCTCTCTTTTAAATTTGATCACAAAAAAACATCTGTCACACACGTAAAAAATTAAAAAATATGAAAGTAACGTATATAATTGTATTTATGTATTTTGTTATATCGATGATTCCGGATTCTAAAAATCAAGTGCATGTGGCAGGAGCTGATCAGAAAAATGCAGAGAAGTCACTAATATTCGTCAAACAAGCTCAGGAAATCAGCGAACCACGAAACTGAAATTTCGAATCGAAATATCTCTCGATTTCTCCGGTTCTTTCCCACCAAAGAGAACAACAAGTTGATTGAGCGATTTTTCGGACTGAAATATTGTCTTCTAGTTGCATCAATTGATAAAGTTTTCTTGCTAAAAATTAGCTCGTATACCTTCACTTAAGCTTACCAATCTCTTAAATAACAGAAAGGTAATCTTTTAAGTTGATAGCTAGTATATATTTCGTCTTCTAGTTCTAAATAACTGTGCTATATAATATGTCTTTCTTTTTAATTTATAAAATCCCAGCATATGATTAGTATCATATTAACAAAAAAAAATAGTCGAAAATATTGATATAAATCTATTTCAGAAGATTCTGTTATAATATGATCAAATAAAAGTGACATATAAATGTCAGTACTTCCCTGNCGACTCAAAGGCAATTAATCTGTTGAAGAACTTCTCTTGTTCATTTTCTTTCTTTTGAGGAACATTTTTTAATAAGCAATTCACTGACTCAATCAATTGAATATGAGAATGTTGTTGCAATAATTGAAGACTACGCTACATAAGCAGATAGTTATTTTGTGAAGTAGTTGTATGAGATTTTAGAGTACCATTAGTATTGAACTTCATTTTTTGTTTCTACTATTTTCTGCTCATTAAAATATAATGTATTCAAAAAAACAAAAACAAAGCTTTGCAATTGATTATATATTTATGATATGTATGTTTTTATCTCTATGTTTAATATATTTATTTAATAAAAATGAAATGATATATTTGAAGAACAGACTTTTTCTAAGAAGTTGTTTCTTTTAATACTGGACGTCCAGGATAGTGAAGAGTTAAAAAATGCGATATTTACCTGGATGACCTTTATGGATGGCCTCTAACAAAAAAAAATAGTCGAAAATATTGATATAAATCTATTTCAGAAGATTCTGTTATAATATGATCAAATAAAAGTGACATATAAATGTCAGTACTTCCCTGAAAGAAAACGGTTACAATAATGCAGTTGATGAAAAGGTCAAATTTCATTAAACCTAAAAATTGATGTAATTTATTGTTTTAATGTCAATGGCTTATAATAATCTTTAAGCTTGAATTCCTAATTTCAATATTTTTATATATAGGATTTAACATTTAATAATGTACTTTATCTAATTAGTAATTTAATCTTCTAGAAAAGTAAATTACACGTAAGATTCTCTTATATAATAAGTACGAATAGTTTGTTTCATGCTTTCATTAAGTTATTTATTAGACGTATAATTTGACCTGATTCGTCAATAAATTTTTTATTTGATAATTATAGATGTAAATAATTCAACAAACTTATTTTAGAAAAAGTATTTTTATTAATTTATTAAATCTATTAGATTAATTTACTGATAGAATCAATGTAATAGATCTCAACATTCGAAGTAGGTTTTTTTTTCGTTTCGGTGACGGTAGACGTTTTGTCTGAATATATCGGGATTGTTACAGACAGTAAACAATTCTAATCGTTGTGTGAAGAATCAATGCTACGTCCAACGCAAATGCTATTATAAAAGCAATCATTCATTTTATAAAAGTCATGATGACAATTTCTTTTACATTGTCCTTCGCATCATTAATGTTTTTAAAGTTACCTACCACGTCTACAAATGTTTGTTCGTGTGATCGATCTTAATTTGTTTTTTATGGACTATATTCTTTGTCATTACCGTTCAGATGATTAATCCGAAAATTTATTAAACAATAAATTTTGATAATAATTCGATACAACAATAAAAAGAAAAGGTTTGTGACAGAAAAATATAAATCTACAAATTGCTTCGGGTAATCAATATCTGATGTGGTGAAAAAACCTCCTCCGTAAAGAAGTGACCTAGTGAAGGATGTTCTAATTATAATAGAATTATTCTACAGCAAAAAGAATTAAAATTATAATTGACATTGGAATATATTTTTTTGAGAAGGTGAAGCCATTAAAATCGATCGTAACGTTGTTTTTTTTTGTTTATGCATACAATTCGATTAAAGTTGAAATATTTTTTCATCAGGTACGTACGAAATGCGTTACATCTTCTTGATATTTCTTTTTCTTTTTTAATAGAATTTGTTTCATATACTAAGTTGTTACATATTTATTAGAATATCGTGACTTGAACCTTATTCATATTTTCATAAGCATAGAAACGAATGCTTCTATGAGTTTTAAATAAAGCAGAATATTTTTTCTATGTAAAATATTCATAAATGAATATTTTTCGCCGACAATGCTTTATTGAAATGATAAAGATAAAAATAAAACGATTTCATCTGATATTTGTCGTGTTTTTTAAGTCAATATTTTATTCACATCTGTTATCTACATATAAAATATTTCAAAGTATTAAGAAAAACTTTTTTTTTTCTTCGGGTTAATATACGAGATGATTAGCGCCTCGATGAGAAGGATTTTCAATTAAATATTTATGTGAATAGTCTCATCTTTACAAATACTAGTATAGCTAAAATTATTACACAAGTGAAACTACACCAATATAAGAAACAAACTTTTCATTGGAGATAAGCATACGTGAGAGTTAGCACGAGACACAGTTGGAGTAAATTGATATGGCAAAATTAGAATATGTAGGTCATCATATAATAATAGGAAATTCTTTCCTTTATCTTCATCAGAACAAGTTTTAAATAGTCATAAGAGTATTATCTTGTCATTAAAACATTTTTATGCTGAAGGTACACTTTCTCTTTCTAAAGATTAGCATGCCCGATGAAAACGAAATTAGCAACTAGCATAATAATGAGAATGTTAGATCTATTGAGAAAAAAAATTATATATGCATCATAGATGCCAAGCAAGTTATTTTTAGTTTTTAAATAATATTGGAAAAAACCATATTGTTCAAAAAAAATTTCAACTAATTAAAAGTAATTAGTCAGGTAAAGATATCCGATGATTAATAGAAAATTATGAAATACCATGTTAACTACTGCTTCGACTAATAAATACTAAATATTCATTTTTTTTTCTTCATTGACTAAAAATAGTTCTGGATAAGTGGCTGTACTAAATTGCTTTCTGCTGATTGGTAATTGGAAACACTTTTGCTTTTAATTAAAACAAATACTCAAATAATGAATATAATGTCATATTAACCTGACTATAAATGTTTTGATAAGGTTTTTTTTCATTCAAGAACATAAAAAAAAACAAGCTTTTCTTCTTTTTTTCTCGTTTCTGTCAGTGTTTTATCTCGTTGGGGTCATAATGTTCTGATTGTAGACAAAGAAAAGAAGCGTTGAAGTAACAAAAAGAAGAACATTATCAACATATACGTATATCAGTACTAATCTTATTCTTTCGTTTAGTTACTACATCCAGTCATATGTTGCATACATCAAAATGTTAATCAAATGCATAATCAAATAATCTGCCTAAAATCTTCTATTTGTTTATTTCAAGTTAAATGACAGAACGGTGAAGGTAGTACAAAAGCGGTAGAGCGTAATAAAAAAAGTTAACAGCAAAAAAGAGAAAAAAACGCTCTTAAAGAAAAAAGACGCAAGGTTATTCTCTTTTTACTATCGCATAATAACATCCACTCTAACCTATATAAATATTCAAAATTTATTTACTCATCTTTTAGATACTCATTATTATAAATGATTAATAAGGATTAATTAACGAAAAGAAATGAAAATAAGACGCACAAAAATTCAAGCGTAAGTTTATCAATTTTTTTAAAATTTATAAAAAGAAAATATTTATTTTAGACAATCGATTACTGTAACAGCTGAAAGATTATCAGATAATTCTCGTATAACATTTACTATATCGTCTGATAAAACAATTGAACATTTACGTTCTTTATTAAATCATCATTTACCACCATATATACCGAATAAATTTTGTTTATATTCATATCAACGTGGTGCATTAATACATTTTCATCCACCATCATTCAAATTAGATTATTTTCCTGTTATATTTGATCAATCTGTTCTATTACTTAAAATGGATGATCGAACTGTTAATAATATTCATATAAATAATGAAAAAGAATTACATAAAGAAATAAAAAGGTACAAATTTTCGTTACTAAGAAATCTTTTATCGTCGACAGCTACGAAGAATAATGTTAAAAGACAATCATCATCAACAACTGTTACATGTTTATCTATATTAAAACAATTCTTTCATCAATCCTCCAATTCGTCAAGAATGAATATAGATTAATGATGGAATATATTGACTCATTACAGCAACAATAGATAAGATGTTTGCTTGTTGTATAAAAAATGTGTTCTTTTTGTTTTTGATATTTTGTTTTCTGTGTATTTCTAACTGTCAATAAAAGAATATTTACATATTTTCTCATGATTATTTGTTCGACTACCGACGATGAAAAGGGGAAAAAAGCTGACAGTGATAGAAAGAGAGTAATGAAAAAAATGTTTTTTTTGATTGATGATTTGTAGCGATATGACATCCTATGCTAAATGTCACTTCAGGCATATCATGTCTAATGATGACATCGATTTTAATACTAATATGACGTGTTTACACTGAATGATACTTTAAAATATAATCATTAAAAAAAAAAGAAACGTCAAAAAAATTTTTTTAATAAGAAAGAATACAAAATAAATTAAGAAATTATTTTTCATGCAGAAAATTCAAAAAAACAAATTGTGGAATCAATTTTTTTCTTTTTTATTTCATCGCAATATTGCGTCTATAAGACATATTAATCACAGGTAAAAATAAGATAAATTGTATGAAGATAACAAGGATAAAAAGAACAACTCAGAAACTAGGGTTATAAGAGTCCCTCTTACATAATAAAATAGAACAGAAATGTTTTTTTTTTCGACCAAAACATTTGAGTATCTCCCGTTTTCATAGTCTTTACACTTGAATACAAATTTAAGAGCCTCTCTTTTCATTTTCACAAATCAGTATATGTTCTATATTGAACGCATCGATAATTCTTTTATGTATAAAAAAAGAAACTTACTTGAAAAACTTATTATAGAACGATCTACTAAAAAAAATTTCAATTTTTTTCAGTCAAAACGATTAATTCTATTATGATATTAACAAAAGAAAAAGAAAAGCTTTTTCAAGTATCACTTTGTATTCATGCACATTGTTTCAAGTTCGCACGGGAAATTTATTAAAAAAAAAAAGAGACATAATTCAACGAGAACGAAAAGGAAAAAAATAAAATTAGTATTTATTCATGTAAAAAATAATCGAGTCTCCTGATGTTTATTTTTTTTTTATAAACAATTGACTTGACAAATTCTAAGATGATCTTGATGTCAAGATATTTTTAAGATGAGTCCATTCTTTTTCGTTTTACTTCTATTAATAAAGTCCTAATGGTTGTATGATATAATGTTTTATTCAACTTTTTGTTTTTTCTTCATTCTTGATTATTTTTTTCTAATAACAGAAGTTTTCAACAGAACAGAAAAAAGTGGCATCTGGATGTACTCCTAACCAAAAAAACAAACTCTTCATTATCTAATGACCAGCATTAGCCGGATATAATTCTAAGAAAAATACATGTTTCGTGATGTTTTAATATTGTAGATATATAATCAACCAATCGTAGCTAGCCTTTGACACGAATCATTAATATAAATAACACGATTACTGTGTACTGTCAAAAATACCTTTTTTTAAAATAATCATTCTTTTTTTCTATAGAAAAGCCTTGAATATATCCATGACTAATGAGTGTTATTTAACTTCTGTGGCAAAATAACTATACACTCTCATTTTAATAAAAGTATTTTTATACTAAGTCGATCTATTTCAATACTATCCATAAAATACTACAATGATGTGATAGAATGGAAACATTTTGATAAATATATCAGTATAGATATATTTAAACTACAATTTGATAATTAAATATTTCAATAATTGAAAATATGAGATGTTTTCATAGTCCAATACAAAATGGAATGTAATTATCGAAATATATTTTTTTTCAATTACTCAGTTTAAATAATTAGTTATTTACTTAGCGGAATGTTTTATTTATAAATGTACATGACCATGTTTCTCAAGATACTACATAACTCTCATTTGTTGAATGCACAATTCAAGTCTCAAGTCTCATGAATATATGGTGTCAAATTGTTAATTTAAATCAACTAAACAGTTAATAATTCATTTATCGATAATATTACAATGAAGCCATATGCTTAGAGTAGAATTTTCAGACAGGTGCGAGCAGCCGGACCCCTCTGAAAATTCCACTGGGAGCATGTGGTTGCCTAGTAACATTTTCGATAAATAAGTTATTAACTGTTTAGCTAATTTAAATTACCTTTGGCACACACGGCAATTTCGATACGAAGTATATATCTTACTATAGACAACAGAGTGGACATCAGGTGAAAAGTCGGTAGCGTCGTACTTTTGCAACATTCAAATAGTGCTGTATATATATATGTCGTAGGACAGATTAAAATTCAGTTCAGATTAAAATATTTTGATCTGAACTAGTTCAGTTTAAAATCTTCCTAGTTCACTTTAAAATAATTTTGATCTCAACTAGGAAGATTTTAAACTGAACTAGTTCAGATCAAAGATATTTTAATCTGAACTGAATTTCAATCTGTCCTACGACATATATATNAAATTCAGTTCAGATTAAAATATTTTGATCTGAACTAGTTCAGTTTAAAATCTTCCTAGTTCACTTTAAAATAATTTTGATCTCAACTAGGAAGATTTTAAACTGAACTAGTTCAGATCAAAGATATTTTAATCTGAACTGAATTTCAATCTGTCCTACGACATATATATTCAAGTATGAATGATTTGGTAGGGTTTATATTTTTATTACAAAGTTTTAATAGATTAGAAAATTAGCTAATTAAAAGCTAACTTGAATGCAACGACACCGAGACTACACTTAAACTTTTACAGAATTTAGTGTAATAGTAATCGAAACTAATATAGATATATATATATATTATAAATCTACATGATGTTCGCTATCAATCAATAAGCAAGTATTTAACTAGGAGTGGTGGTGCCAGAAGAATAAGCTTCTACTTTTCCACAGTGTTTTTTTCGGGAATCACTATTTTAGTAAGATGAGCACGTCATTCATACTTTTATTTTAGATTTATTGAAATTTTGTCAGAATGCTCTCCTATATGTCCAATGTTACGACGATCTGATATTTCTGAACTCATTTGTAATTTTCTGAAAAAATCTGTTTACGAAACTAAATTGTCTTCGACTATAAGTTCTTAAAAAATAAATGATGTCTTTGCGTAAAATTTATTTTGACAATACTTTGGGACATAGGGAGAGAGGTGTTTCCTCAAGATTTTTTCATCAAAAAAAAAGTTTTTATTACTGATTTATCCTGGATAGTAGAACCTCCGAGCAAACATGATATTTTAATGAAAAAGAAATTAATGTTCACATGGTCTATAGAAACCATTCACTGTTTACCTTTGCATTGAAGAAATTTCTACATAAAAGAAATGGTTTATTTTTATGAGACGGAAGAAACTCCTCGCTTATTATTCATCTAGAAATATCATTCAAGAGATCTACTACTCAGTAAATGATTTACAATTGATTTCAATCAAAAAACATTCAAAACTCATTGTAACTCAGAAGCAAGAATACAATGACAATACTCATAGGCAATTTTGACAATTTTTAGTTTCAACTAACCATAAAATGCATCGTCTTGTACAGCAAATATTTTTTATTTGAAATGATCGAACTGGCAATTTTGAAATGAAAAATTCTTTTCTATTGTTGCTTCATGATGAAGTTTTAGAATGAGCTATTAAGAAACATAGGCTAATCACATTTTAAACTGTAATAGAAAACGTATCGAAGTTTAATATTTACTTACAAAACATAAAATAGATTTGCAGAATATATTTCTAAAAAACTCAGTATGATAACACAAATAAAGATCTACATTTTTTTTCACTATGAAATACAAGTACGAAGAAGAATTCGTATTTTAATCACTATTAAGTCTTAATTGAATTTTACATACTCTATCAGGCGGTATACTTTACAGATGACTTTTACATTAAATCTTATTTCATAAATAGACCCATTTATAAATAACAAAAAAAAGAACTTTTTTCATACTTCACAGTCGAATTGCTTCAATCAAGGCGACTCTTCTAATTTTTTTTTTTGTGTCTTTACTATGACCCATACTCTTCTCACTGTCATGTTTATTTAACGTTACATAATGAAATACTAGAAAAGAACATGCTACATCAGTTTAGCATGTGAGCTGAAGTCATTACATTTGTCTTTTAAGGGCACTTGAAAATATAATTTTGTAGATCACAAAAATACGAACTAAAGAACTTTGCGCTCTGAAATAAAATGAAATAAAATATTCTTCATTTTGTTTTTCTTGTCTCATTCTTCAACTTTTTTCGATCTGATTTCAATAGAATATTCATTGATCTGTTCTAGGCTTTCATTACATATTGTATTCTTATATTAATAAACAAACATTCTCTTGTTTGCTTTTTTTTTCAAACAAAATCTATAAATTACGGATGTATGAATAAAATTCTCTATAATAAATTAACAACTGGGAAGTTTTTCTTTTTCTATTTTTTTTCTCTTTTATAACAAAAGAAAAAGAAGTAACAAAGTAAAACAAAACAATTGTTTTATTTTCTAATATATTTGCATTGTAACCAAACTCGATACATTTTTAATTGTTTTGAACGATTAACTTGTAATCTTCGATCAATTAGATTTTGTTCTTTTACTAGACCATTCCGTGTAAAAAGTTGATCAAGTTCATCTTAAATTAAATTAAATTTTTTCTTGGCAAAAACAAAAACAAAAAGGATTTTATTTATACCTTGCTGAAAAAAATATGTTAATGTTCCATCAGATCTTGCATAAAGATTTTTTTCAATACATTTATCATTTTTAAATCTTAATTGTGCCATGTCATATAAACCATAATCACGAAATAATAATTTACCATGACCAGGTTTAAGATATTTAATAAGATTTTTTATAACTTGTTCATGTTGTGATGGATGTATTGCACTTAATACAAATATCATTAAGATAAAATCAAGTGAATTTTCTTCAAAGGGCATTGGATTTAAACTTGTTATATCATATACAAATCCATGACAATATTTTGTATTATAATCAACATTTTGTTTCAATATATCAATAGCTGTTGATGAATAATCACAACAATAAAGAAATATATGTGAATGTTCATTGATATTATTTGTACGTATTATTGGAAATATTGAATTACCAACACCACAACCAACTTCTAATATTGTTATTAATTGCCTAGGATCTGTATTTGATGATGATGATGAAAATAATAATTCAGGATATTCAGTAAATAACCATTGACGATCTTTAAAAAACTTGTTTTCATGTATATCATAAAAACGATTCCATGCTGATGGTAAATCAGATTTAAGAGTTTCTAAATTAAATAAAAATTTAATTTGATTCAAATTCAAATTATACAAAGTGCCCCACAAGTCAGTTAACCAAAGAAAAAAAACAACTCAATATTTCTGTGATAGTTGCTCTAAATAGATTGACTATTTTTTTTTTCACCGATGATTAAGAGATGTTTATGATTAATATCTTTCGAAGTATCTCCAATGTTTTTGTTTTTCGAAGTGAGTACAATGGATTCGCATGAAATTTTTATTACAGATAGAGCACCTACAATACGAAGACATGTGCTTGAGAAAAAAAATTATTAAACAAGACCTTCGCAAGTATTTCAAGAGAATTCTAGTTTGCCATAGAATCATATCGAGTTCGCTTATGACATCCGTCAAACTTTGTTCGATTGGGCTAAAGTTTTGATGATAGATACTTGAAAGTACTTCCCAGCAACAAAATCGGTAGTTTTCGTGTTTGACCTTCCGATATGGATCTATAGAGCCTCCCGATTATTTTCGATGGAGAGTATCCATAGCTGCTTATCCCATATTTTGTTAAGTAGTAGTGGATCACCTGTTCATAAAGATCCCCGAAATATTCGCTCGATTGCCGAATATTGACCGAAATGTTAAATTTTTGCGTCTAGAACCTTAAGTTTTTAATAAAATATTATTTTCAAATTTTGGGCTTTAAGCTCTGTTGCAATCAAGACCTCAACGAGACTAATTCGTACACAGCTTCAGATCAAAAATTGAAAATTAATGTTTTATGAAAAACTTAGCGTCCTAGAGACGAAAATCAAATATCAAGGTCAAAACTGCAAAAGAATAAATCATTTGAAGGTCATTATGAACAAGAGGGTCTGCTATTATTTGGCAAAATATGAGAGTAGCAGCCCTGTACATATCCTCCATCGAAAATAATCGGGAAAAACTGCATTTCTAAGTCGAAGTCAATAATGATACATCAAAACAATTCTGTTTAATATTTCTCTGAAGGATATAAACCATGAACATCCTTTTATCGTCGGTAAAACAAATCAACCTATTTGATCAAATTATGATGAAGATATTCAATTTTATCTTCAATTAAATGACTTTTGAGCTGCTCTGTATTTTTTTAACGAACCCCATTTAGTATCAGACATTCGATTTTCATATTGTTTTTCTATAATAGTATTTGCTTCTTCACTTTGTTCGTCACTCCATTCAACATCATCCCTTTAAAATATAGAAAAAAAATTTCTAATAACATTCTAAATTGTTGAAATATTCATTAAATTATTATTCAATTTGATTTTGTTTAAAAAATATTTTGCATTTGTTATTTTTAGATAATAAAAGACAAACCAAATCAATTACCAAGCATTATGAGAAAATACATCGTGTTCATCAGATAAATGACGTGAGCCGAATGTGGGTCGTTTCTGTTCTGTCATTATTACGAAAATTAATAAGTATCTGAAAATAATCTTAGTAAAGGAATTTTAGTCATGATATTGCCCACGCAAGGCTTACATATGAAGAATAAAGATTAGGTAATCATTTAATATTTTTATTGTGATTGAATTTTTCATATGTTGATTCAATCAAAATCAGATATCTACTAGAATTTCTTGCATTCGCTTGCAATTAATCAAAAGAAAAATTACGAAGGAAATAGAAAATATCAATGAATTCAGCTTTATCTTGACCATTGATTGAAGCAAATCAAATAAAACAAGTTGAAAAGTCATTGAATGGCCATACATCTTCGTTATAAATAAAAAAAAATAAAAACATCCAACATTTTTATTTATCTTTATTATTTAGTGAAAAAAATTGTCCTAGTTCATGTATTTTTTTATTAATCAATAGATCAAAAAGGTACATCATTCTACTTTTTTTTTCTTATGATAAAGGGCAAAGGTTGCACTGAGAAAAACATACTTAATATCATTTTTCTTATTTTCATGTCTCTAGACGCAACAAACAATATGACTCATTGAAATAAAAGAAAAATAAATAATGAATAACAGAAAAAAACTTTGATTGGATTTTGCCTGCCATTACTCTTGCTTTTCTCGTGACAAGAAACCACCATACGATATACTTCAATATATTTGTCTACGCATTCTTTTTTTTCGAATCATCGTTTATCATTGAAGAAAATAAGTACTCTAGAACAAGGCCATTGCATATATTTTTTTATTTTTTTCACGTCGAAGTATTCGACGAGTACTTAACCATGTTCGGCGCCGAACTATGCTAATTTTTTGTGTCTTTCTGTGACGCCCTCGTGATTTGCTTTTTTTTTCTCTTCGGTATAGATTCTTGCTTTCTTCATTACATTACTCCGTTAAAAGCCGTCCAACAGTCAACAGTTAGTGTTATTTACTAGGCTTTCTTTATCAAGACACATATCACAGTCAAATATCTACTGTGCGTAGGTGTAAGCGTATTTGAAATCATCAAACTTGTCTTTCTAAAGACAACCAAAAATATTGTCCAAAAGCAGTATCGAATACAAAGGGCAGAGCGCTTCTCTTACGGTAAAATTTAACATTTTTTAATATTTTTTATTTGTTTTACAATGAAACTTTTTTTTTTATTAGGGCGTTATTGCCGAAACCTTCTGGTTTTCTGAATACAGTTGCTCGATTTCAACACTTTCTGAATTTTCTTGGACACCTGGTGCACTTAGCTAGCACCCGCCACAAGCATCTAATCGCTGAACAACTTTCCTTTCTCTCCTATGTAAATATTATTGCTTTTGTTGTTTTGCTTTTGCGTTTCATTTTCAAAATTCAAATTTTATTTTAAAGTGATTCCACACTTCGCATTAAGTGCAAACAGCAATCCAGTTTTCAATCTAGTTCTGAACAAAAAATTAATATGCATTTAGGAAAAGATAGTCCTATTATTGTTACCAAAGTACAACATACAGCTGAAGAATTTATTCAAAAGAAAATTGAATTACTTGTAAGTTTAAATTAAAATTTGAGAAGAACAAAACATTATTCTTCTTTTTCTTTTTTTTTTGTTAGAAAGATGAAGCTGAACCATTTTTTGCCGTTGATCTTGAAGATGTATGCAATAAACATATCAGATGGTTAACTTTAATGCCTCGTGTTACACCACACTATGGTTAGTGACCTTGAAAGTTTTGTATTTTTTTGTTTTCTATTTTATATGATTTTTAGCTGTTAAATGTAATGATGATGTAAATGTTATTAAATTACTTTCATATCTTGGGACTGGTTTTGATTGTGCAAGCAAAGTAATTTCTGAGTTTTTATCTTAATATAATTTTCATTTGTTTATTTTAATTTAAAGGGTGAAATTAAGAAAGTTATGGATTTAGGTGTATCAGGTTAGTTTCTGATTATTAAGTTATTTTTTGTTTTGACTTTTCCTTTTGCATATATATTAGCTGATCGTATCATCTATGCTAATCCATGCAAACAATCATCATATATTCGTTATGCACAAGAAGTTGGTGTTGAAACTATGACATTTGATAATGAACAAGAATTAATGAAAATTAAAAAAATATATCCAAATGCCAAGTAAATTATTTTTATAATTTTTTTTTCTTTTTGATGATTATCTTATTTCATTTTACATCGTATTTAGACTTGTTTTACGTATTGTTACTGATGATTCGAATGCTATTTGTCGTTTTTCAATGAAATTTGGTGCTGATATGTATACAGCACGTAGCTTAATGGAAAAAGCTCGAGAACACGATCTTGATATAGTCGGTGTTAGGTAATGAAAATTTTAATAGGAAATTATTTGTATTAGATTATTTATTTTTATTTAGTTTTCATTGTGGTAGTGGTCAAATGACAAGTAAAGCATTTGTTGATGCTATTCAAAATGCTCGAGCAATTATGAATTACGGAATGAAATTAGGTTTTAATATGAATCTTTTGGATATTGGCGGTGGTTTTCCAGGAAATACTGGAACAGAAAATTATTTTGCTGAAATTGCTACTGCTGTTAATCGAACACTTGAAGAACATTTTCCTAATGATGGTAGTGTTCGAGTTATTGCTGAACCTGGACGATATTATGTCGCATCAGCTTATTCATTAGCTACGAATGTTATTGCATCACGAGAAATGATTGATGCAGGTTGGTTAATTAATAATATTAAATATCAAAATAGACTAATAAACTTTCTTTTTCTGAAATAGAAACAGGTGATATGAAATATATGTACTATATAAATGATGGTGTTTATGGTTCATTCAATTGTGTTCTCTATGATCACTATGTACCGGAACCACATCTATTAGCTAATGTTAGTGTTATCTTACTTATTCTTTCTATTGAACATAATATTTTTCATTTTTTTTTTTTTTTCTACAGAATGAATCAAATGACAAGTTTACATCATCAATTTGGGGACCAACATGTGATGGTCTTGACTGCATTCATTCATCCATTAAAATACCAAAATTAAATATTGACGATTGGATATTATGGAAAAATATGGGTGCATATACAATATCAGCAGCTGTTGAATTCAATGGAATTCCATTTGGTAAACCACTTTATTTTATGTCGAAACAATTTTGGTATGTAACATTATATTTATAATAGATTTGAATTCATTTTAATATTGTTCTATATTATTTTGTTTAGGGATTCAGTTAAAGCTGCATTTCAACCAATACGAAAAACAAGTCAATATGATACGCAATCAATTCGTTTTACTATAAATGATTGTTCGAATGAAGTTGAAGAGGATTTATTACCATGGTTAATTGAAGATTCAGTTGAAGATATGCCTGTTCTTACAATTCAATAAATGATAGGAAAAATAAAATAGGTTCATTTCTTACATCTTTAATTAAATCTATTCAGGTTTTTTTTTCATTACATATCAATGAATATGCATGAGTTTTGAATATCCCTTATTCTCTGCTGTTTGCACTTAATGCGAAGTGTCGGATTTATTCCATGTTATCCTCCTTTCTTTTTTTTTTGAAATCCTTTGTTTTTCTTTTTCATTTTTGGCTCTTCTAAAATCGTTTATTCAAAATATATGATTTCAATGTATTCACATTGTATTTTTGGCTCTGAAAATCGTTCGAGTTTATCTTTCTTTTTCTCTTAAATCTAATGATATTTTCAGTTTTGTTTCTGTTTTTCTTTTCGGTTCTCTATATATCTATTATAATTTCTTCTCAACACTAATTATCATGGGATTTAATAAAAAGTACAATGAATTTTAATGTGCATGAAAAAAAAGAAAAGAAGTATTATATCTAATAATAAATTTAACAGAGATATGAAGCTTGTGTCATGTCGCCAGTACTTTTGATTATGTTTAATCATATTTTGAAAGTGATACTAAAAATAATCTTTGTTTGTCTATATCATGCGTCATGATTTTTATTGATTGAAATATTTCGTTGGTGGTATTGATCGTCGAAAATAATTCAATCAGACTGAATAGATTTATTTTCGTCGGAGAGCAAAAAGAAAAATAACATCAAAACTTTCTCATTATCTATTCAAATGATAAGATTTCCATATATGCTATTTTTCTCATCAATTCCCACTGGCAATATAAAAGTAGTTAAATCTTGAATAAAATTCAACTGATGTCATTAGAACTTATGAAAGATTTTTTTTTTCATGACAAACGTCGTCATTCTGAGTCAGAATATTAAAATTGCGCATTTGTGTAGGCATTTGAATGCAATAAAAAAATAATAATGATGTATATATGAAGTCACGAGATGGATCTGAAAGAATACGAACGTGACTAACAAACAAAGACGTATGAGACGTTTTATATGGTGTGATTCTGACATGACACTAATAATCTTGTACGCAAATGAAAGATTTTTAATTTTGTTAAAAAATGATGCATGACATTAAACTAAGACGTAATAAAAACTATTAAAAGGAAAGTGCGAAAATAAAAATTGTATTTTTACATTAATCAATATTTTCTTTTATTACCATAGAAATGAAAGAAAAATAATTTATGTCGTAGTTTATTATACATGTCTGTTATATATCGTTATACGTTGTGTCATCAAAAAGAAAATAGTTTTTTTTATCGTAAATTTACCATAAAATATCACTATTTTGATTGATTTCTAGCTGATAATGTCTGTTAAATATTCAAAATATTTGCTGTGTTTTTTTTTGTCGGTTATTGAAAGTATTACTGCAGTGCTGCTATACAATTCAAATAATGTTCAACTAAGAAATATATATTGTCTCGATTTTTAGGTTATTTTCTTGATCTAATATTCAATTAATTCAGAAAGCTTTCTAATTAATAATTCTAAAGGTAATTGTTTAATCAACATAGAACATTACAATAAACATCGATAATAAAGAAAAAAACAATCACTTTTTTTTTTCACAAATATATCTTATCTCGGAAATTGATGACTAAATAGCAACATATGTTTATTGAAATATAAAGTTGAATTATGATAATAATTATATTCAATTCATACTGCCGATTTCGACTTATAATTGCCGATCAATTTTATAATAGCGGAGAAAAAAAAAACAGTTGATGCCATAGGGTTTTCAACATTAATATGAAAAAAACCGGAATAGCTCTAGAATCAATGTAAAACAGGAAATGGATTTTAATATTTTTTTCATTTTAAAATAAACTATTTTGAACAATTCATTTATTTACTTTATCTTCTAGTAGTGACCTCTCTTTTACTTTTTAAACAGAGGTATCACTAAGTATTATAGAAAGACATATGTCACGATCGGAAATTCTGATTAAAATAATCATTAAATAAAACAACAAAAATGAGTGACGAAGAAGATGAAGTAAGATAACAAAAAAGAAAAAAAAAAGAAAAGGAAAACAATGAACAGATTGCAATAAACATTAATTTCATATATCTTTTAGCCACGTGTTATACAAGATCAACCGTATGATGAATCGATGGATGTAAAGAACTTACTAATAATTTTTAATTATAAAAATTGTTTTTCATTTTATTTCATCTAAAGGTTCCTGATGGAGAAGAAGTAGCTAGTATGTATACACCTATACCATCTAGTCGAAAACCTCCAGGTATATTTAAATAAATAATTTTGATATTAAATATCAAATATCGAAATTTATTGTCTATTAATCTTTTAGCACCAGATTCACATATGAATTCAGGAATGGGTCAATTTTCTCGAGAACCACCTATTATGCGTCATCAACAAGGTGATACTCCTGATGCTAGTCCTCGAGTATGTCTTTTTTTTTAATTGTCTTATATTAATTATTGATTATAAAATATATAAATTTTAGCATGGTAATGATGATACACAAGATGAAACGGATTCTGATCCACCATCATCACAAATGTCAAATGGAGCTAGTGGACAAAAAGAATATAAATCAACGGATGTTAATGCTTATGATCCAAAAATGTATCATGATTTACCTGTTTCAGCAGAAGTGAAAGATATATTTAAATATATTGAAATGTATTTCATCAATTTTTCTTTTTGTTGTAACGAATAATTGGAAAGTTTTTAGACAAGATGTTTGTTCACTTTTGACCCGCTAGAAAGTACGTTCGACGAGTCAAAAACTATGAGTTAAGATCAGAATTTGGTGCTATTTTCGAATATGGACTTCGAGAAGTGAAACCTCGCGCTGACAATAAGACCTCAGTCAAAATGTAGTGCCAATTGAAACTAGAAGAAACCTAGAAAGTTTCTTTGTCCTGTTGGTTGAATATAACGGTTCTAGGTAGAGTTGATTTCTCGAGAAAAAAAAACAATGTTTTTGGCTGAAGTTTTTATGAGATATTAATAACTTCAAGAGCTGTTATGAATAAAGTTTTATTACAAAAGGATAACGCATGGAAAAGAATCTTTTTAGGTTTCTTCTACTCTCAACAGACCCTACGTGATTGATGACTGAAGTCTCAACTCAAATGCAAGGTATCACATCGAATGGTTCTCTCGTTAGAAATTTTGTCTTAGTTTTTGTTCAAAAGTTGTAAAATAATCTTTGAAAAACTCAAACAATTAGTTTGGACGGAAAATTTTTGTATCTTCACTAATTCAATTCGAGCATTAAGGTTAGGATTTTTATTTACATATCAGCTTTTAGATCAGAATGTACTGTACAAAATACACTTTGTCTTTCGACAACCATTTACGTTGAAAGAAGCTCTTGAAAACATGTTTAGGTAAAAGCTACAGCTTAGTTCAATATCACATTTTGTAGAAAAGTGTTCAGTCTAGAAAGCGACCGACTATGATAATTTTTAGCATGTTTGAAAAAGGACTTATAGAGTAAATTAAAAATCTGCTGGATCACCATTTTCAGGTCTTTTAAAAAGTAGCTCACCACTCTTGAATAAAATTCCTCGGCCTATATTTGACAAGAGCACAAACTCATAGATTTTAACTCGTCGAAAATATGTTCTAGCGAGTCAAAAGTGAACAAGCACCTTGTCTTAAAACTTTCTGATTACTCATCACTTGTAAAATTTCGTAAAAATAACTCTTTAGATATCAACCACAAGATATTCCACTTGAAACCAAATTAAAACCATTTATTCCAGATTATGTTCCATCTATCGGTGATATTGATGCTTTTCTTAAAGTTTGTATTAATTTATATATAAAAATAAAAAATTGAAAAAAGAAACTATTAAATTTTTCAAGGTACCTAGACCTGATGGTAAAGAAGATCATCTTGGTCTTATTGTTGTTGATGAACCATCATCAAAACAAAGTGATCCACATGTGCTAAGTCTTCAAATGCGATATACATCAAAACAACCTGTTGCAAGTAGTTTATTAACTGTAAGAATAAAACAATATTCATCGATATTCCAAAGTCGGTGCGATTGTGGTTTTGAATACCTGAAAAAGATTACAGATACTTAGCTTATTTATATGGAGATATTGCATTTTTACGATATTTTTTAAATGAATGCCGTAATCCCCGTTAGGAACATCAGGAAAGTTGATTTTCAAAATTCTACTTGAAACTTCGCATAGGAGTATAGTTTGGCAAGAATAGTTATTTATGAAAGTTTGAGATGTTTTCATTGTTTCTATTCTTAGATATAGCGATAGTAAAGTCATATCTTTTACATCGTTCATATACACTGACTAATGTGACATTTTCATTTCAAGATAAGAAGCAAATCAAAAGACTTCAAACTTTCAATATAAACTATTTTCATTAGGGTCAGTTTCTATATAAAGTTTCAAGTCAAAATTTCGAATTAAGTTTTTCAAGGAGGAGCAGAGCCTTGAATTGAAAATACCGTAAAGATGCAGTATCTCTACGACAATAAGCCATGGATCCGAATTCTTTTTTTGAGTATGCATAGCCCATTAGGACCTATATAACGATTAATCTATTGGAAAACTTCCTTTGTCAGAAGACCATTTGGAAGATTTTTACTAAAGTTTATTGGATTTTTCGTGGGGAGGGTCACTTCTGAAAATATAGAACAAATAAATGTTCGATTTTTTTTCTTTTTGGTTTCTAGAACGTAAGAAACGTAGCAAATGCTGATAAAAGTCCAAAAGCTATTGAAGAATGGATCAATAATATAAGCAAGTTACAAAAAGCTAAAACTGTTGATACTGTTCAATATCGAAAGTAATTACTAATGAAACTTTTCTTTCAAATGAATATACAATAATCTTTTTAGACCTATGCCAGATATTGATAGTTTAATGCAAGAATGGCCAACGCAATTTGAAGAACTTCTTAAAGAGGTTCATTATTCAAAACTATCTTTAGTTATAATCATGCCTTTCTTTTTTTTTTCTTTAGACTTCAGTACCATC